TTGTCTCTATAGAAAAACGGAGGGATCCGCATGTAGGTGGTGATGTCCCTCCCTCAATACCCTAGCCTGTCACCACTTCCTCTCTATTTGGCTGGGAGGGCACACTGTCCCAGGGGAAAGCAGTGGAAAGGACCCCAAACTATAAATGGGGACCCCTGGGGACGAGAACCACACGAAAAAAAGAAAGTAAACACAAAAACAACACAAAGAAAACATTTACCCACAACAGGACCCGTGGCACAGCTGGAATGAGGGAAGAAACCTGTGCGGGTCACGAACCGCGCCTTCATACAGCTGAAGCCGACTGGTGACGTCATCAGCAATCACCAGCCGGCAGGGATAAAGTGAATCACCGGGGAAGGTGAAGCAGGATGGAGAGCGGAACCGGGGAAGGCACCAACACTGGACACCACCCAGGATTCTCTTGGAGAGGGAGAGCCGGCAGAGGACAGCTTGCCAGTAGGACTGAGGAGTCAAAAGAGGCTCCTGACACCGGCAAAAGGCAGCAGCGCCAGAGGGACAAGAGAGCTGGACAAGGCTCTCTACTCCATTGCAGGTGGGATCATCGGGGGCACCTGGGAGGCGAAGGAGACTCTCCCTCCAGGAGGTACCAGGTGGAAGCAGAGAGAGGGGCTGCGAAGCAAGAGGCTGGGTGCCGACTCTTAATGTAAGAAGTAGCCAGGCTTCCGCAGAGGTGCTGCAAGACGCCGGAAGAGAGACGTCCCTAACAGGGGAGAAGAGCAGCAGTGCCACAACCCTCAGAGGGCTGAGTAAAGGGGGAGACGACCCGGGGGAGAGGCCACAGGCTACCCCAGCCACACACAGGGTCTAACCCCTTGCAGGTTCATAGGGAGTAGGGCATCCTGTACCCCTGGCGGAAGGACCAGGGAGGGGACCGCACGGGTTCCACGCGATAGTAGTGTTTTTTGTTTTGTGAGTTCCTTGCGTTTCCCCCTTTTGGAGGGGTTGAAGAGTAGGACAAGGCGACACTGGTTAGATAGCTGCTTCAGAGCTCTTTTTGTGCTTCACCTTTGTTTTGGGGGCATGAGTCAGGTGTTGTGACCTGGGCGGAGTTGGTCTTCAGACCAGAGTTAGAAATCACAGACAACTCAAGGCTAACTAAGCGAGTCACCCTTAGGGAGCTAGTACTCAGGATGGGAAAGTGCTACTAAGGCTACCATAACCAGGAGTACAACAGTATCAGGAGTATGGCCGAGAAGACTCAGTGATCCGCCAAGGGTTGGCGTGAGGCCAGGGTGTAGGGAAGGTGGAGCCCCGCAGACAACCGCCAGACAGACTCCACACTGCAGAGGGACCCCGAGTGGTCAGCCCCCACACTGGTATAACATTCAAAGTCATGGCAGGCGAGATTGGGGGAGGCCGCTCCAGGAATAAATATCAACTCAACGGCCTACAGGAGACCATAGGGCGAACACCACCGGCCACTCGGGCCAAGGCCGCACGTGACCGGATGTTCGAGACCAGGCAGTTATATACACCCTCGGTGTACCTGGGTTACACTTATTAATCAACAACTTGTTCTCTCTTACTCAGTAGTATGTTGCACAAGGGAAGAGAACAGTTCTCCTTTGCTGCCAATACAAAAAACATTCATGGCCACAGAGTAAGCATGTCATTCTTCCAGGGGAGCTTCTATAGATGTGTCATGTAAGACAAATCATGTTTGTACCTCAGTTAATTATAGTGGGCAATATGTGCTTAGTTCAAGAATATACATAGTAAAAGTCAGCCCACAGTGAAAGGATGGCTGCCACAGTTAGGATGATGAATAAAAGAAAATACTCAATGAAGCCTGCTTCTTAGGAAAGTATTTTTGAGGCTGTGCATATGGAAATAACTATGAATTTTAGAGGGTCTGAAAGAATAACATTTCTTTACAGAAAGAAGAAAAATACTGAGAGCTGCTGGCAGAACAGGGAAAGCAATGATAGTTTCAGATTACTTGGAGACATTAAACAAAGAGTACCACATGTCATGAGAACCTATGAACCAAGCAGCTTACGTGCCAAACCACTTGCCTCTTGACAACCACGCAAATATTAGCTGCCAAAACAAACCAGGCATAAACCCTCTATTTAATTAAAGAAGTTCAGGTGGCACAAACGCTGCAAGTCTCATGAGGTTCTTAGCAGCATTGCATTTCACATGTCCTTGGGCTGCATGCCCAATGTATAGTTTGGCATTAAAGCACAGTGAATCAAACCCCATAGATGTCCTTGCTATTATTCATCTACCATTAAAAGTGGTTTGAACAATAGAAACAGAACTCTTCAATCACTCCTTAGCTAACTATAAACATACAGAATGACATGCTATAAGATCATTATCTTATATTCTTAATTAAGAGTCCAGAGATGATACAGACAGAAGATCATACAGGAGATTGAAAGACAGACAGTAAATTCTTTATGATTGGTCCTATGTGGCTAGAAATTTGTAAAAGCAGAATACAGTTTGGATATATGGTATACAAATACAAGTCTAAACATTGGGCATTTCTGCAAAACTATTATGAACATGTCTATACCTCTGAAGTCATTCATCTTAAAGTTTAATATTAAACAGTGTACAGAACCACCAACTAACAGCCACCTGGCAAGTCATCCATTGGCTCCTTAAGTCTATACTGAAAGGAATACAACTCATTCTTATGATTAAGTCTTTCTAGTTTGTACTTAGCTCTGAAGGTTATCCAACTCCATTTCTGTCCCCCTGGAATTCCTGTTCAGTGAAATGAAGTGCAAACAATTTATTCTAGAAACAAAAGGACTATATGGCTCAAGGGACCAAATGTTTACCTTCTAGATCCTCATTTCAATAGATTCCAAGGTCAGTTGTAATTAGAAGTTGCTATTCAATGATGTAACAAAAGGCCCTAACTTCTATTACTTGTAAGAGTGAGAAAACACTATTATAGGGATGAGCTCTGTTACAGGCAGCTGAGCTACAGTCAGCTGCTAGCAAGCAAGCAAGCAGTCCAGGAAAGACAGCAATAGGAGTGATGAACCTAAAAGTAACTATTTGGGAGCAAGCTGCCCTACAACCAGCAGCAAAGAGCAGAGCTCCAGATATAGAGACTGAAGAGCAGCTGGGTAGGCTGCAGCAGAGGGGTGAAGAGTTATTAGTGGGCAAAGGTGAAAGCCCTGTGCCTGGTTTGGGGAATCAGAGATCAGATGACTGAAAGAAGTGGAGCTCATGGAAATATATGCCCAACTCCTGAGCCAGAGGAGTCAGTCTTTACATAAAGAAGAAACTGAACTTTGCAGGAAAAGGAACTTTTAGGAGTAAGGCTGGAAGAGAGGGATCCACAGGCAACACAAAATGTAGCTTAGAGAGCTGGAAGGAGACAGCTCAGAGTGGGGTAGGAGTTACCATAGTGCAAAAACCCAGAGGAAGGTTTAAATTCAGTTTGGCTGATTTTTTTGTTAGTCGCTTTGCCTGTGAGGCATGAGTGTGGCTGAAGGGAAAGCAAGAAGCCATGGCGGGGGTGCCTAGGAAGGCACTCTGCACTCAAATTAGTGAGCTTACAGCTTGTTGGGAGACAGGCTAGCACAGGAAAGCCCTAGCAGGACTTCAGTTTATATGGGGGGATTTATAAAGAATTTTTACAAAAATTGTTCTGAACACCAAGCATGACAATGACATCTCCATAAATCTCTGAAAATTATAAGTATACATGCATCTCGAGCAGGTCCAAGGAGGTGATCCTCCCCCTCTATGCGGCACTGGTCAGGCCGCAGTTGGAGTACTGCGTTCAGTTCTGGGCGCCGCATTTTAAGAGGGATGTGGACAGCATCAAGAGGGTCCAGAGGAGGGCCACTTGTATGATCAAGGGACAGCAGGGTAGGTCCTATGAGGAAAGGTTGCGGGACCTGAACCTGTTCAGCCTTCAAAAGAGAAGGCTGAGGGGGGATCTTGTGGCCTGTTATAAACTGGTTAGGGGGGATCAGCAGGCGCTGGGGGAGTCCCTGTTCCCCCGAGCGCCGCAAGGAGTGACCAGGAACAATGGTCACAAGCTGGCGGAGGGAAGGTTTAAGTTGGACATCAGGAGGCGCTACTTCACGGTCAGGGCGGCTAGGGTCTGGAACCAGCTTCCAAGTGAGGTGGTGCAGGCTCCCACCCTGGGGGTTTTTAAGAGGAGGTTGGATGACCACCTTACTGGGGTCATTTGACCCCAGTGCTCTTCCTGCCATGGCAGGGGGTTGGACTAGATGATCTGCTCAGGTCCCTTCCGACCCTAGAAACTATGAAACGATGAAACATAACACTAAAAGGACTGGTATTAAGCATATTACTGAGTTTTAGAGAATATATTAATCCTAATAAATAAAAAAGGTTAAAGATGCACTAATTAAACTGAAATTGAAGTCAGGACCTTCCAGAGTCAAAGCCTTGACATGGAAAGATAACTTTTTTGTACTTCAGTTGCTACATTCAAATATTCTCTCCTTGGAGCTAAAGAAAAATATCTTGCATTTGAAAACTTGTGTGACTATCTGAAGTATGCAGCTGGTCCAATAAAAGATATAACCTAAAGAAACCATTACCTCCCCCTTACATTTAATTAATAATCTTCTTGCAAGTAAGATTTGGAACAAAAAAAATTCAAATATTTCATTTTGATATAAGCCAATACATGAGAGAGAAATAATATAATGGAAAAGCTTTAAAAATCTGTTTTTGTCCAAATCTACTATTATTAAACAGCCAAAACCACCTCTATTACATCCCAGTGTGCTTAAATCTATACGAGACAAAAGAGGAAATAGATCCTGCAGATTTCAACTTTGTTCTATATTTTGATTTTGTCCTGAATGGCCAAAAACACAAGTTGTATTCTTGTGTTTAGCAAATTATACACACAGACACAATACAGGAATAATTAATTACTTTTAAGACTGAGAAAACAGTTCAATTTCAGTTCTAAGGCACAGCTGATACAATTGCTACATAAGGAAAAAAAAGAAAAATGAAGTTACCATTTTCTTTTCGTAATCTTGTTATAAATTTCTTTGGAGGTATTACTCCAACCTTTTTCTTCTGGGTGGCTATGCTGTGGAAGAGGTCAGCTAAGCATGTAAGAAGGTTCTCTTTTTTTCTTGGTTGACTCTTGTATGCTAGAACGTTTTCTCGAAATGGGCGACAAAAATAAAGTGCCTGAAGAACTGAATTGCAGTAGCATGTGTTCCCAAACTATAAAATAAAAAAAGATATATTAGCTTCTACTGTATTTTTTTTACAGTGATGCAAGCTTAAGATGCTAGATGTTTAAAAAATGCAGTCAGCGACAATTTTTTCTAAATATCATTTCTTGCTGATTTTTCAGTTGGCAAAAGTTTATCTTACTAGTTTTAACAATGAATGATACATGTATTGTACACCAGTAGTAGATTACTTATTTTCTTTTTTGGAATTATGCATCTTTTACAATAGTATGGAACCATAAAATGTTCAGTAAGTACCAGGTATCTCACTGTGCCAAAAAACACACAGCAACACATATTGGGTAAATTTGGGTGGGCAGGGCGGTTGATCATCTGCCCAGCCATCAATCAAAAACACCAGTCAATACAATAAAAATCAGTATTGTAAGACCTTCTTATCATAAAGAGATTTAACAACATTGGGCAGGCCTTCAGATACATTTTACAAACTGGATTCTCCCATGAACTTTATTTGTGGTCCAAGTCAGTAACAACTGGCTCATTTGGTTGTATGTACTGCTCTCATGCAGTATAGAGAAGTCACACTCAGGAATAAGCTGAGGGAAAATCATTGCAAAGCTGGGCTGAAATCATGGTGAATGTGAAGCTTTCATTTTTAGGACAGAGTTATGGAAGAAGGAAGAGAGCAAGTTTTAGCTGTACACATTGTGAAGGAGACATACCAGTGAACTGATCTTCAGGCTCAGAGTCAGTGACCTCATACAGACATCCTGTTTCTTCCAGGAGAGTTGCTGCTCTCCCAGCGAAAAAACATAAGCATACATACTTGCGTACATGTTTTCTCCCAGAGTGAAAATGGAAACTCATTCCCAGGAAATCACTCCCAAAAGAGTTTCTCCTGGGAGAGCAAACATCTGTACATGCTGTGGTTCCTCTCAGAAGAGAGCACAGTTCTTCGGCATTCCCCCTCCCTCTACCCTGGGAGACTGTTGCTGCTGGACTCTGCTGCCCCTGGAGGACTGTGGTGTAGCTTCTCTCAGAAGGTGTACAGAGTTTGCCTACAAAAACTTTTTTGTGAGTGATTTAACCCTTTCTGCTCCTAGGTTATTTCTCTCCTAGAGCAGACATTTTTTGCTCTGGGAGGAAAATCCTAAACATCTGTACATTCATTGTTTCTCCTGGGAGAGCAGCAATTCATCCACAGGAAACTGAACGTCTATATATGGCCTCAGCTACTTGTACCACTACAGAAGCATGCAGGAATTACACCAGAACAGCTGATGAGTACTCCCCAGCATCAGATCTTATTCCCCTTTAAAGCAGTTAAAAACTACATTTGTTGAACAACAATTCGTTGCTCGGCAAGTCATCCAGCTTATCTGCTTTGGCCTCCCCCCATCTGTAAAATATATAGCTGCCATAGATATTTTGTGAAATGTTGCCAAGATCTGTGCAGCAGTTAAATTCTAATTTTACCATTGTATAAGTGCTATCTATGTATCTGCGTATACTTGCAGCAGCCCAAATGATAATGATACACTGTATCACTCTCTCTAGGAAAAACAGTCCCATTATATATGGAAAGGTCAGAGCATGTTCTTGCTTCCAAATGACTGAATTGAGAACACAGGAAGAAATGACTGCCTTTAACATTTCCTCTCTGGAAGTCCATGACCATCAAAAATATACTACGCAGTATAGCTAGGAAATGAGGCCAATGAAAGAATCATTTTCCCAATTTTTGCTGAATCTGATGTACAATATCACCTCTATTGCTAAAGTTGTAAAAAATCAAAAGTAATTTAAAGTAAGAAGAATAAGTATGACCAGGTGACCTTAAAGCAGGAAACGATGATTATAATATTTCATTTGTTGCTCAGTGCTACTCCAACTTTTTGGCCAGTTTTAATATGAGCAGAGTGGTCTCTTGAGAAGATGCATGTGCCATTGAAATATTTACACTGTATCACTGAAAAACTATCTTTAACACAACATTCAAAATACTGACCCATTTACAAGAGACATCAAGACAAAGAATTACATGTTAATACATTCTGCAGAACATTCTGTAGTTACTGAAATTTATTCTATATTAAATAATATATCTTTTTCAAATTTGCTACAGGGGTACAAAGTTAAAGATCTGGTAGTATCTGGATTCAAAAAAAAAAGAATGCAGTGAAACGTTGATTAGAAATGCAGCCAAAATTAAAGCCTGCAGAACAAAACACGGAGTTACCAGGAGAAACTGGAGCACTGGCCCAAAGTTAAAGAGAGGAGATGCAGTATGCATAAAGATTATAAATCCATGAACTGGAAATAAAAGCAGATTCTGAAAAGCTGAATGTCATTGTATCTCCAGCCAATTCCAGGAGAAAATGAAGCAGCAATGGATGTATTTGACAGCACCAAAGCTGATTGATGACTACAGAAGCTTTTGAGACATGAACTAAATATAAGCTATTTTCACAACCCAAGAGCTAGCAATTATGTTTCTTTCAAAATTTTAGGCTTAGTTCTTCAGAAGCTGATTTTGTAGCTGCCCTCATTAGTAATAGCTGATTTTTTCCAAGAAAACCAGTTAGTTATTCTCCATCTTCATTGCCTTCTTCCCTCACCTTTGAATCCAATCCAAAATTTGTTCTCGTTTTCTTATTTTTTCCCCATGAAGTCTCTCTCTCTCTAACCTAGGATTTTGTATTCTTCTACAAATTATATATTTCATTCTTCCAATAAAGGAATACTATTCTTATTCAGATATATTTTTTCCCACTCCTACTGCCTCCACCCTTAATCCTCCTACTCATTTTGAACCACAAGTAAATAAACAAAACAACCCCGCCATCCCAAACACTTTTTCTAAGCTTGTCTGGAACTTCCTTTTGACATTATTGTGATACATTGTAATAAAAGTAAAATATGCATTGTAGAAGGCTATAGTTTACAATCATAAATTGTAAACAATCTCTAGTGATGTTACATGCTTGCACAATATTCTGCATTATGAAAATGCATAACACCAACAGCCCAGGAGACTGTTGTAAGTAAATGAAATTTAGCTAGACTGACTCCAAAAAGAGAAGCTGTTGCAGGAGAAGAGGAAGTATTTCCTAATCCAATATACATACATGTAGGACAGAATGAAAAAGCCCGCTGTTTTACAAGTTTCTTAATGCATGCAATTAAAATAGTACAAGCATTTCACTTTTTCCTGCACATGGTCTCCATTACCTACCCCAAGAAGTTGTTCAGATGCTAGATAAAAACTATATTTTTGTCTGCTTTAATTTAATTGAAGAAAACTGACTGCCATAAGTTGTGCCTTTTGAAAAAAAAATGGGTGCCTATATCTGTGCTCTGGGGGAGGGGGGTTAAGTTAGACTGGCTCCCAGAGAGCCACTCTAACTAAAACGCCACAGCATCATGTGTATTTAGCATCCCGTGTTTCAAAATGGCCACAGGGGCGCTTTAACTAAAGTTTATTTGACAAGTTTTAGTTAAAGCACCTCTGCGGCCATTTTGAAACGCAGGATGCTGAATACACACTGCAGCACACTCAAGTGTTTAACTAGCAAACAACTAATGAAGTCTGCTCAGACGCATTCTAATTAGAATTCAGGAAGAAACCCAATGGTGTGGCTTGTTCCTGCAGCAGCAGCCAAGCACCGGAGATGCTGGTCCTCTTCCTGCCAGGTCCTGGACCAGAAGGGGGTGGGAGTGGGGGCACAGTCTGTGGGCCTGATAGAGCTCACAGGGCTGGCCCTACACCATTCATCCAGGCCATGAACCAACCCCATATAGAGTTATACACCCCTGATTTCTCATATTTATTAAACCTATAGCAATTTCAGCTTGTTTAAATGAAAGTGAAGTAGAAATTATTTAATATAAAGTAACTTCCCAAGATGGACTGTAAAGAAACAGACATTTTCTTCATAAAGCAGTGCTATTTTAACATATGCAAAATGCTTGGGATTCCAGCTGAACTATGCAAAACTATAAATGGAGCAGTTAATTCCTATGGGGACTTGTATTATACATATCAGAATCTGGCCTTAAGCAATTATTATAAAGTGAAGGTAATCATTAAAGTGTCCAGGTCTAATTTAAGAATCAGCATCATTTATGGAACTGAGAGAATATTTTGGTGCTCGCATGTTCTATGAAGAAACAGGTTCTTACTCTACAGTAACTGTGATACTTTGAAATACTGTAGTCAGCATGAATCCTACCCTACTTAGGCAATGTGCCCCATGTACGTTAAATTAAACATTTGAATAGCAGAATATGCTGGGGCCATGCCTACACCCTCAGACTTCTGAGCAAATATTTCCTTCAAAATTGAAAGCTCACAGTGGCCCCAAACATGCAAAACTGGAGAACGAAGGCAGGTTGTAGAATCATGCTGACAGTACCTTAAAGAACTACAGCCTCAGGTTGGCACCTCTAGCATTGACAACATAATTACAGAGACCCTTGGTGCTCCAACACAAAAGAGCAAGAACCAGAAGCAGGATTCAGCAAAGCCTAAATACTGCTCCAAGCACCCATATTCCTTTCCATAGGAAGCAAAAGAGAAATCACTCTTCCAAAGATAGGGTGCCCAAATCTCCACTAACATGAGAGTCTTGCCAGCATTTAAAGGGCCACAATACACCCTCACAGAAGAGCACACAGTCCATTCTGGGACACTGTCATCAAGATGCCTGGCCCTGAGATTAGACCTGAGACACCCCATCATACTACTTTTCAGTATACCATCACTACCATTATGCCTTTTTATTAGCATCAAGCAGGGATGGCTTTCCTCTCAGAGCTACCAGAAATCTCTTTTATAGAGCTCCATTATAAAAAGAGGTATCTGTGACATTGGGCTGACTAGCTTCAGCTGGGCCAAGAGACATGTAACACAGTTGCTTCCCTTACCAGGGACAATTACTTCAAGAGCCCTTGGGGTGAATCACACTGATCAAACACTGGGTATTCCCATTGACTAGGGGATTAGTCTAGCACAAATTGGACTAGGTT